AGAGGCTGCCCAACCTGGGTGGCAGGGGCAGGAATTCCGTTCATTCCTCTCGGACCTGGTCACCCCAGGGACAAAAACTGTGCCAGGCAATTCTTTAAACAGGTCACTTGCTGCAGGGAGACGCCAGTGATCCCCACCTGAGCCAGCAGGTCCCCTCTCCGGAGTCACTAGGAGGGGACTGGTCCCACCCGCAGAGATTCAGTTTAATCTGCCTGGGGTGGAGGTTGGACAAAAGCATTTTTAAAAGCTCCCTGGGGTTTCCTACCAGCAAGGGGGCTGAGCCGCTCGGGGAAGGACTGGCCTTTATCTTTTATGTTCAAACTCTGAAGGGCCTAGTTTATCCTGAGAACAGTTTTGTGTTAGAAATGTACACAAACTGCATTCTACCTGTGTTCCTTTTAAGATAATCCCAATAGCTAAAAAAGGAATTTTCAGAAAAAGGTAAATTCACGACTGGTACAGGGGTAAAAATGAGCACGTATTAAAGAATTATTTCACTCCTGTGACCCAGGAAGCAAACTGCTTCATTGAGAGAAGCGGAAGGTCCCAAAGCACAAACTCATCTTGAATAAAGGAATTGAATTGCAAATGGAGGCAAAACTGGTTTTTCCACAGGGGGGAGAGGAGTCCACAGGAGTTCTAGGGCACAAGACAGTGTCTGCATATCCATCAGTACTTGTAATTTACAAAGAGGCACAAGCGCTCTAAGACAAAGAACTGTGCTCTAATCGCTGCCCCCAGGGTGTTCCATAGACGTGCCTAGTCTTCACTGAAACACAAAGTATTTTCCCACACAAAAGGAACTGTCTGGAAAAAAATATTTTCTTCCAGTGTTCCTGCCACTATTGTTGTTAGGTGCCACTGATTCCGACTCAGAGCTAATACCACTAGGCTGCCCCAAACAGCAAAATACCAGATTGTCCTCTTTGGAGCCAAAAAACAAACAAACAAGAGACACACGAAATTACTGCCAAGGAAAACAGGAGGAGGAAGGCTGAGGGTCTGGGAGATAGTAGGGTGGGTTAGGCGAGTTCTTCCCAGGGAAGCAGCCCTAATTCAGATTGTGCCCTGTGACGAAAGAGTTGTGTTATTCTTCCGGGAGCCTCCATTTCTTCATCTGAACGTGGTGAATAAACCGGGGGCTCCTTCTCAGCTTAGGTGGACAGAGCAAGTCACCCCAGAACAGGCTTTCTTTGTTAAGGGTAGGATCCTCCGAGTGGTCCCCTTTAGTTATGTAAATATAGCCTGGTAGGCATCCATTGCCCTGGGGGAAGAGGGGAACAAAGGCTGCCCTTCTCAGGGCCCCCTGGAACGAGGAGCTGGGGGCAGGGGAGGAGGTAAACCATTTGCATACAAAGCCCAGGGCCTTAAGGGAGAAATGAGCCCCATAGCCTGCTCCCCGAGATCAGGTTAAGGACTGACAGAGACCTACTGCCAGAAAAGGGCTTCACAGCCTAGCAAGTTACTTCACAAGCAGGACTGCAAGAACCCGAGTGAGTTTGTGAGGTTTCCCAGCAGACTGAGGGCCCAGCACTCCTAATATGCTCCTATTATCTGGGGAAAATAGGTGAGCTTGTGAGGGTGACTGAGCGAGGGATAACAGGCTTCACCGCAGCCTGTGCAGGAACCTGGACCAGCAAGTGTAACAGGATTGTGCTGGGGGGGGGGGAGGGGCGTGCTCAACGGTGCCACTGTGTGGACTGAGAAGTAATGGCGACTTTCAGACTTCACAGGGAACACTTTTTGGAGTTAAGGGAACCCCTGCAGTTCTTGGACAGTTTGGGAGTGAGTGGGCTCCAAAGGATGATACTGGATTTTCCACCAATAAAGGGTACATGAGGTGCTTCCTTATTGATAAATGAGGAAAACTGTAACCTTTTGTGAATCCTGAGTTAAGGAGGCAGGTCATAGCGATTATACATATTAATCGTTTGTCACCGTGCCAGGTCTATCATATGTGCTCCATAAACTCTGAATCATTATCATTATTACTGGAAGTAAGATGGCAAATTCTGGAAGGCTCTGGAATCTTTTGTAATTTCCAGATGACCTTTGAGGCTGTTTCCTGTCATTATCCAAAACAGAAGTCAGGGTTGTCTTCAGAGGCAGAGGCTGGGGACCCAGCTCACACACCTAGACAGACAGGGGGAACGAGGGTCAGCCAAGTGGAAGGACCAGGCCTGGCTGAGGGTGGCAGTCAGCTGGGACTACACCTGGACTGGGGCATTCTCCACACAGGCTGGCTCAGGTGGGCAGCCACCAGCCTCTTCTTTCCAGATGCCTCTCTGCTGGTGGCAGTGGTGGGAAGCCATGGGCCATGGTCCCAGGCCTGGATTGGCTGCCTTCCCATGGCCCATAAGGGAGCTGGGGATGACGGTGTGTTCCCAGCGCCCCACCTGCCTTTGCTTCTGCCCTGCTCTGCAAGCTGTGATGCCCCTCAGTGCCGGCAATGCTCCCTCATGGCAAGGTCTGGCCACACTCTGCTCCTTTCTCACCAGGCAGCTTGGTCCAGCCCTGTCCACTCCCAGGGCTCTGCCCACATCAGGCTGCTCTGGGCTTATGCACGTGGCCTGGGCCTGGACTGTGCTTCCTTCCGCCTTCCACCATAGCTAAGTGCTGAGCCCTCCTTCGAGGTGCCCTGCCAGCTGCCTTCTCCCTATCCCGTGCTCCGGGCCCATCTGACATCCTCCCCTTCTTTTTCCTGGCCTCGTCTAAGGCCCCCCCCCCCCCCCCCGTTGGGCAGAGGCTGAGGAAGGCAGAGGCCTTGGGATAGCTGGGTCTGGAGTCAGCCTCTGGGCCATCCCGAAGTGGTGGGAACACTTGGCCCAGCTGCAGACGCCCTGGAACAGACCAGAGCAAGGAGTGCAGGGGCTGGGAAACTTGTCACTCTGCTCCCTCCTGGGGCCAGCACCACTCAGAGCCCTGAGCCTCAGCCCTCCCCCCACCTTTCAGTTTGAGAAACACCACTTGCCCACCCCTCCAGCCCTTTGCACAAGCTGTTAAGGGGAGTCACAGGGCTCCACCTCAAAAGGAAGGGCCCCCTGCTGAGGTTAATACTTGGCTGTCACCAGCTGGAAAGCCTTAACTTTTTAAACCCAGTCCCCTCCACTCCTTTTCATTCTGCACTAGAAATAAAACTAAACCAGTTGAGTTGATCCCGACTCACAGCGCCCTTAGAGGACAGAGTAGAACTGCCCAGAGGGTTTCCAAGGCTGTAATCTTTGCAGAAGCAAAACCCAAACTGCACCCACTGCCGTGGAGTTGGTTCTCACAGCGCCCTTGGAGGACAGATCCCCTTTTTCTTTTCAGAAGGTGTGGTGGGCCCAGGCAGTGGACCTCACAGCATCTCTGCTGGAGTGACAAGCCGCTCCGGTATGTCAGGACTGTCACTCTCATCACTCACGTGGAGGGGTGACTCTCTGGGGTGCTCCCTGGATGTGGGCAGGGAGCTCCTGGGGTAACTGCCCTCCCTGGCTTGGGGAGAGGCTGCTCAGACCAAGACTGCGGACCCAGTGAGTCACGTCCCCACCAGGGAGCCCACCTCATCTCACCCACTGCATCCACAACACATGGTAAGGGTTGCAAGTAAGGACATGTGGTCTCCTGTCACCTCAGACCCTGCCCTCTGCAGCCGTGGGGAGGGCCCCCAAGGCACGCACAGGTCCAGAGCTTCTGTTTTCCATAGGGGACATGAGGCACGGGGGCCACCTTCCTGCGTGGGCCCTGTGGCCTCCACTTCAGTGCTCTTCCTAAGGCCTTGCCCAGAGGCCCTCCTCATCAACCCCCCACCCCCCAGGCAGAAATGATAAGGGATAAGCTGTGTCTTGGGCCCCATGTGGGCTCTCCATGGAGCTGGGACTAGGCGGTGTCACGCCAGAAGAAAACACAGTCCCCATTTATTGAGAAAAAAGACAGGAGCCCTCGATCTCTACCCAGGTGACTCTGACTGAGGTAGGAGGTGATACCCATCTGTGCCCACCCCCGTGGACCCGGGGTGGGTGGCCAATAAGAGACACCTCATCCCTTCAGTGGCAAATGTTGGTGTGCCCAGGTCCTGGAGAAGTGGGAGTGTAGGCTGGGGAGGGCTCTGGAAGGGGTGAGAGCAGGGGGTGCTCTTGGGGTGGTGGAGAGAGGGGACATCTACTGGAACAGGGAAAGGCAGGGAGGGTCAGGGAGATGGCCACCATCTCCTGAGGCCTGGAGCCTTCTTCCTGCAAATTCTTCATAAATAAAACTTCACAGTGAGAGGAATGTCCATTTCCATGGCCAAACCGGCTGGTTTCTAGCGAGGGAGCTGGACCTCGGCAGGGGGGAGGCTGTAGGAGGACCAAGCGGCTGGGGGCAGGTGCCAGGCAGCACCTGGACTGTGGGGCCAGAGTGCGGCTCTTCGGCCCTGTGTCAGGCTGGGGCGGAGCAGAGGTGCAGCTTGACTCAAGGTTCTGAGGACGGCTGAGGTAGTCATTGGCTGTCATGCCTTCTGGGGGCGGGGGGGCCAGGTGGGGCGTCCAAGGACACAGCCAGGAGTGAAGCCAGGGGATTCTGTGGCACCATCTCCCAGTAGACCCAGGGGCGCAGATGGGGGGTGTCCTGTGAGCCTGCACAGGGTCGGGCTTCTCTTCAAAGGGCAGTGATCCCAGGCCTGGGCTGATGGGGAGCCCAAGGCTTTCCCAGGAGGAAGAGAATCTCAGTGGGGACCAGAGGGCAGCCACAAACCCGTCTGGGGCCAGGCCCAGCCCAGCTACCTGAGCACAGGGTTCCTTCCAGGCCAGCAGGGCCCCCCTACCATGTCAGAGGGTGCAGGCAGTAGAGCCTGGGGGGAGGGCTGCCTCCCCAGTAAGGTCCGACCTTTTCCAGTCTGGGCAGTTCCAGCAGCTCCGGGCCCTCGGCTGAGAGGGCCTTCTTCAACGACTTGCCCCCTGCCACATCCCGTGGCATGCCAGGCCCGAGTCCCCCCAGCCCCAACGCACATGCCCAGGTCTCTCCCGGGGGCCTGGCCACGGTCAGAGCACCTGGAGCTTTCGCGAACAGGTGAGGTTGCCGTGCACCAGGCCCCACATGGCCAGCAGCTCGGCCGGCAGAAACTTGTGCACCACGAGCATGGAGCGGAAAAAGCAGGGCTCCTTGTTCATCCGGCTGTTTCGGTTCCGTGAGATGCCAAACGTCTTGAAGCCCTCGTGGGCCACGGGCCGCACGCCCAGCACCTCCAGGCACATGCCCAGGAAGACGTCGTCGATGGGGTAGAGCTCCAGGGTGTCACAGGCGTGGTAGAGGCGCCGGGCCAGGCCGCCTGCCATGAGGAAGCCACCGCCGCCAGCGTAGGGTGGGTAGGTGGCTTTGCCGTACAGGGCGCTGGGGATGTAGTACTTGTTGTCCTTCTTGCGGATGGGCCGGGCATGCTGCAGGATGTCACCCACGAACAGGTCCTCGTGGGGCTGCCGGTCAGCCAGAAACTCCAGCAGGTTGGCAGGGTTGACAAAGACGTCGTCATCCCCTTTGAAGACGAAGTGGACATTGGGGCAGAAGGTGTCAAGCCACTTGAGGAAGTGGGTCTCCTTGAGAGTCAGGTTGAAGAAACTGTCAAGAAAGTCCCACTGCAGGATGTCACCATAGAGACGGTCCTCGTAGGCCAGCAGCTGCTGGTAGTGGGCTCGTTCTTCCTGCTTGGAGGCTGTGCCCAGCAGGAAGAGGGTGCGCACGGCGCCACGGCCCCCGCTCACCGCCTCCTGCTCGCGGCCCCAGGTCTGGCGGATGGCCTCGCGGCGGTCGTGCTGGGTGATGACCGATTTGACGACCACCAGCAGGTAAACATCACCCCTGCACTTCTCCGGGTGGCTCAGCAGCATGGGGAAATAGCGGCAGTGTCGATAGAGCAGAAACTGCCGGAAGTGTGGCTCCAGGCCCTGGAACCACGCCTGGTGGGTCAGGTTGATGTTGGCTGAACAATTGGTGGTGGTCACGTCCCAGAACTGGGGCCCCCGTGAGGTTGTGGGGGTGAGGACGGCCACCTCCTTTGGGCTCTTCCAGAAGCTGTTGGGATTCACCAGGTGTCCACTTGGCTTCTGGGCCTTCTGTGGCCCCAGGGTGGGTAGTGAGCGGTTCTGCAGAAACTGGCTGGGGGATAGACTGCGCTGGAACACCGTGACGGCCACCAGCAGGGCCAGGGCTAGGCATGCACTTCTATAGACAGTTCTCTTCCTGGGAGGGGGTGGGACAGAGGAAAGAGAGAAGGACTGAGCTTCTGAGACTCTCCCACTAGCCATTAGACGAAGCTGGCCAGCCCCAGATCGCCCAGTGGATCCCGGGCACAGACCACAGTCCCAGGGCCCCTGAACTGCAGGAGGGTCCTGCTTCTTGGTGCTCCCCTCCCCCTAGCCTCCCTCCTCAAAGGCCAGGGGGGCCACATAGCACAGAATGCAAGCTCAAGCACCGTGGACTGAGGCTGCTGGGGTTCACATCTCGGCCCTGCCTCTTGTAAACTACATGACTGTGTGCGTCTCACTAAACCTCTACAAATGGTCATTTCTTCTTCCCCAGAGTGGGGACACCACCCCAGGATTGGGAGGCCTCGTGTGTGTGCCGTCAGGGGATCCTGTGACTCTACAAGGACAACAACATTCTGCTGATGACCTCTGCTCTTCTTCACCTTGGCAGCAACCAAACCAGAACCAAACCAACTGCCGTCGAGTTGGCTCTGCAGGGCACAACTGTCCTCTAGAGTTTTCTAGGCTATAAATCTTTGTGGAAGTACAGTGCCTCATCTTTCTCCCACAGAGTGGCTAGTGGGTCTGAACCGCTGACCTTTAAAGCAAATGTTTTAACTACTACACCACCAGAGCTCCTCACCTCCGCACAGGCACCCGGGCTTGCTTTTACTTCCCTGTGCAAACTCCATTCACCCTTGTACCTTCTCTGCAGCCCGGGAGCTCAGTAACTGTGAGGGCACATAGCAGCCGGCCTTCACTTGGGACCTGAGAACCCCGCTCTCCGGGCCGTCTGACCCAACAGTCAGACAGGCCTCATTGATGGCAGAAGCCTGGGAAAGGAGTAGGCATCTCCTGGCATGACCACTGTGCCTTCTCCACAGTGCCCCGTTAGGGGAGAGAGGGCCTCAGTTCAACTACCCCGGGAGAAAGATCACGACTCCCAGCTCTCTCCAGGGACCCTCCTTGCCCAGATGCACCCCCCCCCCTCCATTCCAGAACCAGAAGTCTGAGCTCTCTGCCAGGCACGGTGGCCCGGCAGAGGCCTGAGACCCTGGCCGCCAGGCCCTCTGACCTCAACACACATTGTGGGAGCAACCTGGCCGCCTGCCCTGGCCTCACCTCTGGAGACACTAGGGCTCCCAGAAAAGTTCAGGCCAGAAAATGGTGGGTTGCAAGGGCTTGGACTCGGGGTGATGCCGCTGACCTTCAAGGAGGGAAGTCCAGGGTGGAGGGAGACAGAGGGACTGTGGGAGAAGGTGGGGTGACTTCAAGATGGGAGAGCTGAGGTCCAGACATCCAGGCTGAGCAAAGACTGAGCCTCACTGAGCAACATTTTTACCATCAGGCCCCAATGTGTCCAGTGCGCTGGAGTGGAGGACCAGGTCACCTCAGGTATGGGGATGGAATGTGACCCAAGGTGGGAAGGGAGGGGAGCAGAGCGCTCGGGTCTGGGGGTTTCAGCAAAGCACCTCAAGGCCAGCGTGGGACCCAGGACCAAGGGGTGCCCCTCGGAGGCGATGTGACGCCTGCCTCCGCCCAGGCTGTTTCACCTGCCTGGTGCCACTCCATTTGGAAGAGAAAGGTTCGCAGGGCAGGGGAAGGGGGCCAGGGCGGTGGCCGGGAGTCCCTGTGGGGGCGGGAGAGCCATAAGGGCTTGGGGACCGGGGTCTCCCAGGACACGGGCGGGCCAATGGGGTCCATGAGCGTGGCGGGGCTGGGCGATGGTCCCGGAGGAGAACCTGAGTGCCCCGGGGCGTGGGTCAGGGAGAGGGGCCCGCCGGGTCCCAGGGCCCAGTACTCGGTCCCAGGGCCGAGTCCGCGGTCCCCGCGCGCAGGGGCCGGTGCCGCCGCCCGCGCGAGCCCGTCTGCCGGGGAAACTGAGGCCGGGCGGACCCCGGCGCGCAGCCCCGTCCCGGAGAGCTGCTGCGTGCGCCCCGGCTCCGGCCGGAGAGAAAGGCTGGGACCCCCGCCCCGGCCCCCAGCCCGCCGCCCC